ACTTTCTATTACTTTGACGTTCCTTCCTCCTGTGAAGCCCGAAGTCAGCTAAAGGGCTAATGATAAATAAATATTGAATTAATTATCCAAAGCTGAATATTGCGGAAGTGAACTCACTCTGTAACCAAAACATCAAATCATGATAATTGAGTTTTTCTGCAAAGTTGGTTATGATCTTCATTGAAAAAAGGTGGGGGTACTTAATACTTTCAGGATGCAAATGAGGTAAGATTCACGACATCCCGACGTCACTAGACACAACCCCCCCCCCCGGCCTCCAGCCCATTTTCTTTTGCAAGCTGATCTCCATTGCTGTTCAAAAGTAATCAATTCATGATTTAAACTTCTGCAACTTACCCCCCACTAAAGTTTACAAGATAACCCACGTTTCACCAGTGTTCTTAAGGTCACTGGTTGCGATTTCTTTACCACATTTGATTGGCTGATCGCAATCCAACTCCCGAGGTGCAACCACAATTAAAAGCCGTATTTTGAAGGAAGGCAAAATTTCTATTTTGATATTTGAGTTATATTTCAAATAAGGAGGACAAATTTTTTTTCGTGAAAGGCAAGGGTAACAGTAGTAATAAAAGAGAATACAAAATCATCTAGCAAAGCTATTTACACATAGCAAATTTACAGTATCCATAAAGAGTACCCCTTTATCGTACTCGTTGATAGAAAAGGAGATATGGTTTCGCATTGAGCACTTCAGAGAGGGCTACTTTGTGCACTGAGGTATCACTAAAATAGTGCCAAGTTCGATTGTCATCCTGATGGCTGTGATTCGAAGAAGTGGGATCGCCGTTGAGGACACTTTGGTCACCTCTGCGGAGTTGGTAGACGAGATGATGAAGGTTCAGAGGCCAAGGGAAAGGTTTATCCAAGGTGGGGATAAAACAATCCCCAGGAATATCACCGTCCGTGTTCTCAGCCACATAAGCGACGTAGTGTCCACTGGATAAAGATCCCGAATGCTCCACAATTCCGAACAATCGGTACTGACCCTCTTCTGCGCCGAGCTGGAATAAACAAAAAGAAATAGCAGACGGTCATCACAGAGGTATTCCCTCCAGAAATCTTGAGAGACACTGCAAACATACCCATGCTAGACGAGAACAATAGGGTCGAATATCAAGGTTGATAGGAAAGGAGATGAAAGTATTAAATTTGCGAAGTTGATAGCCATTCTAAAAAAGAGAAAATATTAAAGGCTGAGATATGCAAGAAATGGCAAGAACTCTGCAACACATACAATATTTTACCACCATCAAGTAGATGAAAAGAATAGTAACAAAACACAATAACAAATGGCCCCCAGGATGAGGAACTAGCATGAGGTTCTATGGAAACCATAATGCCCATAACACGCTCAATGCTATTCTCATTATAATTAAGACAATAACTTGTAAAGGACAAAGCGGATGATTTTATACACATCACCATGGCCACTATCCACCCAGCATAACAACAAACTAAAACCACATCTTCTGGTAGCCGAACCGTTCACCAAATACAAACTTATCCCCCTAGCTGTGTCATATCTTGGCTATCATATGCTAGCAGTCTTAGAAAGGATCATTACTTCAGCATAAGAATTTCTAAGTCAAAGTTCTTAAAGAAACACAACCAAGTGATAATGGAAAGAGCAACGCGCACCTTTTGATATCTTTTGAGTTGAATTGTGAGAATAGCAGGTAGTTTGAGAAGAAGATCCCGTTTTAAGGAATCACAGCGAACACTGCCATCACTTCCTGTAGTACTTCTGCAATCATCTACATCTACATCAACAGTGCTCGATCGAGCTTTCTTGGTACACTCAATACAAGTGATCCTATTGTCTCCTTTCAACTCTTCCGACTCAAAGTACTTCATGAGACATCGTTCCAGGTCAGTCAGAAGATCGTCTTTATTATTTTGTTCCAAGATGCTGCAAATAGAGAGTTCTTTGGCTCGCTTCTCTTCCTCCGGTTGAGCTATAGCCGTCTTATTTCCAGCTTCAGCCAAACGAGATTTCGAGATGAATTCTTGGCAGAAGGCTTCGTCATCAAAAGCTGTTTTAGGAAGGGAAATTGTGGATAAATCATCGACATCATCTGCATTATCTTCCATATCTGCGGCGTCACCTGAAACAAATGTAAAGTAAACTTAGAGTGTTAATAAACTACTCAAACTAAATGATAGCGTGAAGGAAAAGTAACATCGAATCACTCAAAAAGTTTGCGTTCTGACGCCTCACCAGTTAGCTTGAATTAACCCCAAAATTATCATCGACCTTGCACCATTTCAATTAGAAAACAAGTACACACACATTGACCACTGAACCACAGCGACATAACCATCGATGTTAAATTTTCCAAACGTCTTTTCCTTATCAACCATTTAGGTGAAGAGAATAAACTGCGAATGGAACCCAGCAAATGGTCACAGACACACCCACTATCATGACGTGTGTGACCACAAAAGAGTGCGGTAAAAGAATAAACGATGGAAACTGAGCACCATGGACTTTGGATTGCCTATCCTTCTAGTCGTAAAGATAAATAAGAGGCGATTGGCAAGCAGAATAGCAACTGTTGGTAGTCAACAGTTGTAAATAAGTTCAGTCTTATTCTCAAAGGAAGAAACCTAAGGTAAATGCCCAATGCACACACACCAAAAATTTTAAAAACATACCGGTAGATGTTGAGGCCGGAGAGTTCTTTTCACCTTCAACTGATGACAGAGGGCTGTCGGGTTTATCACCATCGCCTTTTTGAAATCCTTCATCGTCTTGATCTTCATAATCTTCAACGAATTCCATGACACTTTCTGGCGACCCTGTCGACCTATTGCTTGCGCTATCAAAATCATCGACCATGATATCCCTGAAATCGCTAAGGCTGCCATGATTGGGTTCAAGAGAGGCATTATCATTATCATCATCATCGTCTTCATCATTATTGCAACAATCATCATTCTCTTCTTCAGCATTTAGCTCAAATTCACTACCACCGTTTTGATTCTCCTCCTCCTGTTCATGTTCTTCACTTCCATGCATCGATTCGTTTTCTTCTTCGAGCTCCTGGGTTGACTCGTTTTGTTTCACATTTTCTTCTTCATCGTCATCGTCGTCGACGGAGCTCTCTGACCGCCGCTTTCTGCCGTATTTGTTCTTCTTGGACGATTTCTTTGTATTACTTTTACTATTCTTGGTCTTTTTCTTTTTCCCTTTCTTACCGGTGAACTACGGAGAATGAAAATGCGAATATAGTTGAAAATTTCGTCAAGTAGTCAATAAAAAAACAACAGTGAAGCATACGCCATGGCGTACTTAGAAAATGCTAGTAGATGCTAAGCCAGTATCAATAGGATGGAAGCTTCAAGCTCAACATTCTAGATGATATCAACTGACTTCCAAACCTACTGAATATTGATGCAACAGGGACGATAAGAGATCATAATTAGAAGATGATGACATATGATCACAAACTAAAGACGCAAATGCCCTTAAGGAACTTCAATGAGACACAGTTCTAAGTTAATAAGCGGCCATACGGTAGTTAGTAAAACAAGAAGCTAATTAGCAGTAGTAAGCTCGAGGGCCGATTAACTTTATTCACAACGCGGTAAATCCTACCTCCACCTCATTGTCACTCTTCAATCTACCTTTGCACAGACATATAAAAACAGCATCCAAACACTAGCTTTCCACATTGTTGTGCGCTACACCCTTATTCAAAGCATTCGGTTGAAAGGTAAGGAGTAACGGCTGCGCAGCTAATAAAAATAGTTTCAGTGGGGTTAAGTTTGGCATGTTTCAGTACGCTTATCGGACCCATTTCATCACGTGCGCGTGATATCTAAATTTACCGCCATATCAGTAATGCAATTGCCTGGAAAACTGTCCCAAGCTAATTAACAGCACCAAACACAGACAATGGGCTTAACGTTAATAGCAAGGAGCAGATAATACAGAATCAAAACCCCTCAGCAGAGTAACGAGTTTGAGGAATTCCTCAAATTAGAAATTTCCTAAATATCCTCTTAATACACATTCATCTAGTATTAAAACGAGAGGCTATAACGCTTTAAAAGAGAGGGTTATATGGCAGACATTAGAAGACCTTTTGGGGAGAGAGCAATTTTCTGATATGGGGAAAAAACAATGTAGTGGATTTTGAACAAGAGAGTTTGATAAATTAATCAATTCGGAAGATTTAATTTTGAAAAAAAACCAAAAAACAAACATACCCCTGAATGATTTGGATTTTCATCACCGTCAAATTGGCCATCCAAATTATCTTCTGATTCGAAATTGCGTCTATTGCGGCACTTTTTTCCTTTTTTATTCTGGAAGGCGAAAAAAAGCAAACTTTCAATTGCGCTGCTAAGCAATACATAAATGGGGTCAAGAAGAAGGTAAAAACCATCGAAAATGAAAGAGTCCTATGGAGACACTAAGATTTGTTTTAAAACTACAACAATGAAAAAGATAGCCAACCAATGACCCATCGATATTTTCACGAAGATCTTTGACGAAAATACTGAATCGATTCATCACCGGCAACCTACAGGATTTTACTATCAAAGGAACCATTGAAATCGCCACTTTTTTGGATTAGTTAATGATGTCTTAGGTTCATAAACGACGTCTTCGTAGTTCAAATGACTAGCCCTACAATAGCGATTCTTATAACTTTAAAATATTCAAAACAAAAACTTTGTCAACTCGTTCATTAGCCCACATAGCAGGCTTCCTCGACATTAATCTCTCAAAAGTTCGCGATACAACTGTTCTTCGGTTTAGAGCGAAGGAAAACTGCTGAAGCAAGTTTAATGAAAGCCTTACTCCTAGAGGCCGACCATTCACAGACGCCACTGGGAGAATTATCTACTTCAAAGACACAAAATACTCAAAGACCGGTGTTGGTAGATTATGAAATCGTAGCACTTCTTTCTAGTTATGACGATATGTTGTGATATTACGTGGCAACACGCCAAGACTCCCAATTTTATTGATTTAATAATCCAGGAACCTAATGGGAAACATGCAATCTACTGCTGCTATCCACTCCAACAGCCAAATTTATGGCTTATTAGAGTTCAAACAGTGCTGTCAGTCACCACGCTATATTGAATAAAAGATTTACCTTTTTCCTCTTATCAAAGTCACCTAAAACAGAAAAAGCGCATACACAGTAATGAATGCTTTAGATAGAAATAGGAAGAAACCAATCAAGGAACTTACACTTCTGAAAATATGAATCGGGTTCAGAGTTACCGATACTAATAGGCAGTGAGATGTCCAAAAAGGTTTCAAAACGAATCGAAGCGCTTTTACAAATGGTGCATTGGATAGAGGAAAGGAGAACACCACCAAATATTCTATCAACGGTGGTGGAGAGGCCAGTGCACTGACCCCAAGATTTAATTTCCTCCTTCAATTCTTCAGACGCCTGAAGAGGGTCAATCAAAAAAAAGGCAAAGAAACCTACTGATGCATTGTAGTTCTTTGCATCTAAGATGGCCCGCTGCCAAAGGCGTTTCTCTTCACAACGCAATCGATCCAGGATGCAACGCAAGGCCTCATGGCTGTCGTGCTGAGCGTTATTGTTCAATTGTCTATAATTGCTCACAAGCTGCTTACGTAAACCCTAAAAAAAGTGGACCGAAGTTAAAGATGACGAAAATGAAAAACGTAGCAAATATAATTGAAGTTGTGAGTTCAACATTATAAGAGTACAAACTTCAACGTTAAATGGGACAAAACGTTCAAGAAATGCTTTAGCACACACATGAGTGCAAGCCACTCCACCAACTACAAAATACCGACTTGACGGCAGATTCCATACCTAATCTGCCACGAAGTTTCATTAGTTAAATAGGCAAACAGTAAGTAAAATAATAGCTGAGGGTAAACATGTATGAATGCAAAGTAAAATCGTGAAATATCCAGTAAATTATGATCTGTTAATTCACCTCAGGAGTTATTGAAGCCCGAGTATTGCCAGATCCAAGTAGATCTTCAACAAAATTAACAAAGGTTCGAGAAAATTGCAGATCGTCCTTGGGAAGCGAGAGACGAAGGGTCTGGGTGTTTCCCTACAAAAAAGATAATAGGAAAAGACGAGGTAAAGCATTAAAAAGTGAGAAACATACGTCATTGTGAGATCGTTTGAGATAGCCAAAACGACCGCCGTGGGACATAACCACGATGCATTTCTGGAGAGCAGAAACGCGCGAAATGCATTGGAGTGCAGAATTGAAATAACAAGTATTGCCGACATTAATAAGACCTTTTGGAACTTTTTCGCCTTCTTTACGGTCTCTCTTTTCGTGACCTTTCTCAATCGCACGATTGCGGGTTTTCTTTTTGCCCATTAGAATTTCTGATAAAGATAGACACAAACAATATGACGTGACTGATCATAAATTAAAATGAAAAATTTAAAAATGGATTTACTTGATATAATTATGGAAAAATATATTAGGTTTAAAATGACTCACCAAAACTATTTGCCAAAATCTACCAAGGCACGCAAAAACGAGGCGCACTAAGAGCACCACTGATAACTAAAAATTGAGGTTAAATTCCTTTTGTTAAAATGGAGAATTAAAACACACTTTTGAAGTAGTAAATTTCAAAATAAATCCAAAAAGTAGAAAGTCTAAATACTCATTTACTTTTTACAAATTCATTTTATTTTAAAATTTTTAGATTGAGCTAATTTTGTAAATCGTATTTATTTTATTAAGTGACATTGAAAAAGTGATTTCCAAGGAAAATAAAGATAATTTTAAAGTGCGTTTTATCAAGTTTTTTATTCAGAGGACTTCAAATGAATGTTCTGTGCGTTGGTTATCCTCGTAAACAATCTTTTTTTTCTTCCGCATAATGAAATTTCGAATTCAAACTTCAACGTTTAAATTCGTAATTCTTTTATTGTATCGAAACGGTTAGTTCACATAGACCTATAATCTGAATAAGATTATTCAAATTTAGATAATAGCTTGGACGTAATTATTGAGTAATTAGGCATACCATTTGACATAACATTCTATTATACTGTCGAATAAGACAAAATTGAAAATATCCTACATATTTGGTATCTAGCCTTTGAATGTTAAAATTGAAAAGATTTTCAAAAATAATCTTCTGTAATACTGTACATTCCAATTTATTTGGCCTCATAATTATGGAGCTTTTATTAGCTTAAAACCGTTCGGTCTAGCGATCATTTAAATAACATATTCGCCTAAAACATGCCTTTTTAGTATATTTAGGCGATTGACAATAACAAGAAAATATGTCCTAAGATTTTTTGCCTAAAATAGACTGTTAATCTTTAAATCGACCGAAATGCAATAATATAAGTTAACTTTTCAAGCATTACTTACATGTGATGCGAAAAAGCGATAAAATGCTTTAAAAGGATTAGATATTAATAATAAAACACGTTTGATAGTAAAGTTGTAAACCAAGAGCCAAGCACTGTGAAATTGTATTCTACCCTATTTCACGACATTCTTTGACGAATAAAATTACCTAAGCAAAAATTTATTGAACTTTTCTGTATTACATCATTGAGATAGATATAACAATTTATCGTTGGAGTGAAGTTGGATCAATTTCTTATTTGAGGTCTTTAGACAATTCACAATAGGTTAGACTTAATTGAATTTTTCGATTGTTTTTAGTCGGCATTCATTCAAATCGATTATCAATACTTCAAAAGTTATTTGGTGGTATCTGAGTAACACATAATAGGTTTCTCTTGAAAGTAATAATATCTGAAACAAGATGTAAACTATCTTCGTATTTTGAACGGTTTTGAGGCATATTATTTAATAAACTTTATAAGCTTCAATAGCCATTCTTTGAGCCCTATGTTTGGATGAGTTGAGAAACGCATTAGCCTTCTTTGTCGTTTGGGCTGAATTATTGAAATCTTACTATATGTCTATGCTAAGTGAAAATCGCGATCAATATAACATGGCCAACAAAAGTGATAAAATTATTGGCATTTTATCATTGTCTTATTTGGTCATAACTGTGTAATTTTCACTATTGGAATATTTAATTACTAGCGCAATAGGGTGAGAGAAGAATTGGTTTCCGAAACGGGATATCAAAATATCCCAGACATTGGAAAAATTAAATATAAATTAATAAGTTGCTTGCAACAGAGCACGAATGCTAATATAGATGCCGAAGTTTACTTTGGTTAGTGGAAAACTGAGAATTGTTGGCAAGAAATTTTTGATGGTAGGTAGGGAAGGAGTAACCTGATTATAACGCTTACCTTTCCTACTTATTCCTATTTGTAAATAAAGGTAAACAAAGGTAAATTAGGAATGACTCGAATTTAAAACTTTAATGCGGGATTATGTAAAATCATCCAATAAGTAATGTGGACAGAAGTAGTGATACAAGGCAAGATTGTTGGTAATTAGTTTTATCATAAACCATCCTTTTAATGATAAACCATTACGCTTGGCATATTTTTTATATTTCTTATAATACATAATAATATTCGAACAAATGCAACGGAGCATTATAGCTATAATATTTGAAGACTTGATTTACGAACTTTTGTATTTTACTTATTCTCTACTCAATTACAATTTTACCTAACTTTTATGCAACTTTATTTTAAGTTCAAAGTTCACAGCAACTTAAAGTATCTGTTTCCTAAGAACTGCATTAGCATAGGTAGATTAAACCTGTCGACAAATGCAGGCAAGTACACTCAGTTTAGTTTATTTAATTTTGACATGCAAATCAAAAGCCACATAAAAAATTTATGTTCATTATCCAACTTACTGTCTCATGACTCACTTTTACTTCCATAAACTCCGTGCCACCGCCTAATATGTCAACTGCTTATCTCAACTTTCGTTTACGCCAATTTTGGAAACGACGTTACGTTGTTTCGATCTTTAAGAACATCGCATCTTTTGGAAAAGTTGCAAATCAAAAAATGTTCTAATACAAGGGCAAGTCTATTATTCCTTAATAATAACCAGCATACATACTTAAGATGCCCGTTGAGGTTACACATTATAAATATTCTAATTAACCAATTATATTCAAAGAGCATGAATGAAATGGCAACAGACTGACATAAAGCATGACATTTTTATATAATTATCCTGTTACTCAAATTCACGAGGAACAAATGAATTAAAGGAGAGTATACATCACTTTGTATTTCTGAATAATTAAGATAATATGTGTGCAATTTGGGGAATGCGCAATAGCTTAGATGGATTCAATTATATAGTCAAGGTCATTTTGCATTTCCCAATCAAAACGGGAGCAAGTCAGATGAGCCTATCTATGCACAGGGTTGTGATTACGAGATTGGTAGACCTTTGTAATGCAATTACAAAAAAGCAATGCATTGGACCTGTACCTCATTCCCACAATACGAAGTCACAGCAACGAGGCTAATTTAATCAAATGTCGGATTTATTACCTCCAATTGTAATCGATAGTGGAACTCAGGAATGGAGAGCTGGTGTTGCAACCAGCAGCCAACCAGAAGTTCGCCTTGAACCGTCCTTAGAGAACCTCGAAGGCGTAAGTTAATATTTCCGTAAATGCGCTTGATTTCGCTGCAGATGTCTGACAAACATATCAAATGCCATAAATTTGTGCTGCTTCATTGGATAAACACGATAATTAGCTCAATCAATGTCAATAATTTAAATTTTAATAAGAAATTTCATTTTTCCGTTGCCAATTAGGTTTAAAAGTTCATCTCTGTACAAAATTGATGTCGAAATTAATACTACTGGATTTTTATTTAAGTAAAATTGTGAACTAAAATAGATTGCTGTCCATTGTCTAACACAAAACTTGCGTTAATTAAATGCTTATTAAATACGCCGATTTTTACCTTGCTAATAGTCAACAAATGCATTGGATTTTAGAATGAAGTCATTGAAAATGGCGTCGTTCTGGAATTCAAGTCCACGCAGAAGGCACTCAGTTACTACACAAAGTATATTCGTGAATGTTTGACTAAAATGAGAGCATCTCCTTCGAGCAGTAGTTTGCTTCTTTCCCTTCCACTGAAGATGTCTGATGACTATAGACAACGGTTAACGGAGGTGCTATTCGAATCCTTCCAGTTCCAATCTCTCTTCTATGTTAGCCAACCGCTTTTAGCGGCTTATTCATCGGGTTATTCTAACTGTCTTGTTGTGGATTCCGGCTATTCCTATACAGGAATCCTAGCCGTCAAAGACCTATACCCCTTTACTGAAAGTGAAAGAGTTTTGCCTCTAGGAGGTAGAAATATCGATCGCTATCTTCGTCGCTTAAGTAGAGAGAAATTAGCTTCTTACAATGAGGCAGATATACGACACATTAAAACGAATTACTGCTCAGTTGCTTCAGGATATTCTAAGTCAGTAAAAAGTACTCAAAAAGTCTTGATTATGCCTGATGGGAAAAAAATCACCCTTGGGGAGGAACTCTCAATGGCTCCGGAAGTCCTTTTCAATCCGAGTTTAGCTGGTTTACCAGACGTCAATCCAATTGATCAGGCCGCCATTCGATCTGCTCTTAGTTTGGAAGAGAACGATGCTTATTCCGTGCTAAAAACGGTTGTTCTTGCTGGTGGTAACACTGGATTTCCTGGGACCCCCAATCGAATGAAAGAGGGAATTGCAACCAGAACAGTTCCAAGGATCAATAAAAGAGTTGTCAGGCATCGACAAGGTACGGAAGCTGTCTGGGTTGGGGGGTCGATAATTGCATCAACACAGACCTACGCCAAAGTCTGCATTACCAAGGAAGCGTATAAGGAAAGGGGATCTATTTTGGCTATTGAGCGGTGGTTGTGATCTTGCATTTTTCCCTTATTTGACCAGAGTATTCTTTTTTTAACCTTTTGGAGTTTACTGATAAATATAAGAGTAATGTGAATACCTTGCCATTTTTAATTACTTAACCACTAATGCACTGGTTTTGTACTTTAGGCAATTATCTACAATTATCACGGAGAACAATTAAAATCTATAACGAGTAGCTGACAAAAAAAACATGCATGGAGTATGGACAGAGTGGAAGGGAGGGGGATTTCAGGATATAGTTGGAAGACATTTAAAAAAATTAATTTTCAATATTGGGATTTCGTAGTGAAGCCATGCACACACATTGCCCGGAGCAAATGGTCTAGAATGATTAACTAGGCTGGTTAAATAAAGTAGTTAAGCAAAAATGCTATTTTTTGTAAATTAATGGGTAACATGATTTTAGGACAAAGGAGTTGCCAGAACGATAATTGTTGAAGAAAAAAAAACTGAGGAAATAATCAAATTTAAATCGAGAAAAGAGGAAAACTGCTCAAAACTCAAGATCAGCTAGCACATGTAAAAATTGAGTTAAATTGTACTCGAAGGGGTTTTATTCTAATCACAATGATGGAGATTAGGCTCGCTTATATTTTCATCTTATGGAGAAGATAGAACCTGTTGACTCAATTTAAAAGTGCTTTGTAATCGTCTATAGAGTTAGCCACATAAACGACCTTTTACTAGGATTGAGGAGCCAACAATGCAGAGTTGGGAGGTAAACGGAAGAGGAAGCAGGTCGACGCCTTCGAATGACAGTTACTCTGTAAGCAAAGTGGTATGAATCCTTCGACTACAATTATATCTGGAAATGATTTGAACTGGCGTTTATGTTACTTTGAGTGAAAGCACTATAAATTCAAACAAGAGGAAAATTAAAAATTTCATGATTATGGCTCATGTCAGCATAGCTGTTTTTTTATGTCAATACATTGTAGTCAAGTGTAGAAACTTTCAACTGCACTTCAAAGAATGCAGATATATTTCCACTTACAGCCAGTAAGAAATCATTTTACAGGAATCCAGTCAGCTTAACTTGTACGATTAATATAAGTTAAATAATAATTCTACAGTACATATCGCTACCTCAAAATTGCTCCTCGTTCTAAAATGAAGGCTTCAGTTGTAGTAGATTTCTTCAGTATGATCGCTCATGCATTTTTCATATTATTACTGCTCAACGCAAATCACATTCGTCATTATATGCCAAGGTGGTTTGATCAAAAATAATTATTTATTTATATCAAATGGTAGGCGT